CACAATATTAGTGGTTGAACGGGAAATCGAAGTCCAGCTTCGAACAAATGGATACACGGTGAAAGGAACGAAGCCCTCTTCCTCCAGGGTATTGTGTCTAGCTCGGCAAAGGAAAGGTGAAACATCGGCGCGGGTATTGGTAATCCTTGGCGAAATTCGGCGATGGCCCCCTGGGGAGTTTACTAGGAACTGTAATTACCAATTTATAACTTAAGTTGTGTATAAATTAGCTCAGAGTACTAGCTCGGTGTTGAGATGACGGAGTATCTCGTTGAGCGTGCAAAAGGAGTTGCCTGGCCAACCTAGTCAAAGTCTACAAAGCGAGAAGAAAAGGATTAACTAGATCGTTGGACCGTGCTAAGTATAGAGCAGATAAATATGACCCTAGTTCGGCTACATGGGAAGAGCATCGCTTCTTAGTCCGGTTGAACAAAAGTCTTTAGCTCGGCTAATGTGAATGAGGTTCTTAGACCGGTTATGAAGATAGCGAGCGTGAAAAATTTAGGTTCGTATTGAGTGAAGCTGCTGTCACGACTCCCCAACCCCCGGCCCTATAGGGTATTAGCCACCGTAACCGCCAAGTAAATCCGAGATTACGAAAGGCCTGCTGTAACAGTAATACAGTAAACAGAGTACAGGGCCTGGCGGAAGCCACATACAGTAATTAAACGAAATGTCCAATGAGCTGTGTTCAGTCTGTAGCCAAAAGATTTGTCTGCATTCGTACATACACAAACAGTACAGTCTATTACCATAAAATTTACAGTCACACAGTACAGGACCTAATCCTTTGATACAGTACCAGTTAGTAACTGACAGTCTATACAGTAATCAAACGTATGGAGACAGGACGGGGAAAACAAACAAACACCCAAAGCCATTAGGCATTGGGCAACTCGGCAAACCTCGCCCAGTGCAGGCACAAAGGCTGGCTTGACAAAACTGCGAGTCTAACCCACGCTCCTAGCAATCCGATCTGGTGGCTGCAGCAACCTACATCATAGTATATTAAACAGTGAGCTAAAGCCAGTGAATAACATAATGCCGTTAAAGAATTTAGAATGAATGTCCTTACGTAATGAAAACAGTTCAATTCAATCAGTTTTCAGTGTTTAGCTTACAGTAACAGTCATATGTGGTACATCCATTAGCATAAAACATAGTAACAGTAGCCGTCTTAAGACGAACAGTAATGATGGGCATCCAGTCAGTAAACAGTCAGTGGCTCCACGAGGGAACGACAGGAAGATCTCTGTACAGTAACAGAAAACAGTAAACAGTAGGTACTAAGGATGCCACAGTACAGTTCAGAAATAAAGGACATACATTCATTCAGTAATACCGTTCAGTAAACAGTTCAGTTCAGATCAAAAGATATCATTGAACATATCTTTACACAATTGTTTACTCAAGAGTTCGGGGCTACAGAATGCGAGAGCCTGCCTCTCAGTCCGCCAACCCTACACAATTACAGATTGAACACACTAAGCTCACAGCGGAAAGATAATAACTTAACCCCTAATGCCTCGGTGTGTTCTACATCTATATCCTCCAACAGCATGCCCTTAACTAGGCCTAAGAATGCCTAGAATGGGATGAGAGCAAAGATGTACAATTAAAAAAAGCCATTTTCAAGAAAAAAACAGGCTTCCGCTCAGCGCAGTTTCCCCGCTCGAGCGTAATGCAACAAAGCGTACACCCCGCTCGAGCGTAAACTTTCCCGCATCGAGCGTACCATATAAGCGTACTGTATGGGATGAAATCTCCGCCTCGACGCCCGCTCGAGCGTTGAGATATGAACACCGCTCGAGCGGGCCCAATTCTCCGCATCGAGCCGTACTGCAAACAGTGCCAGACGAGATGCTGGATTCTCGGATTACACGCTCGAGCCGAACTTACCCCGCCTCGAGCGCGAAGTGCGAAATCTAGAAAACCCAGATTTACACCTCCAAGCTCAAACTCACACTCAAATGCATCAAACTCGACCTCTTGGCTCATTTTCTGAAAAATGTTTATAAACACTAGAATAACATGGTTCAAAGCTCAATTTTGAGAAATCAAAGCCCAAGGGTGTTTATTCAAACCCAATTTCAAACCATTTTCCAAGAACAATCCTCGAACATGAATGCATGATCTTAAATCATTTCAAAGCTTTAATGCTGTTTCAAAAGAGCTTAAACCTTCAAAAACAGATGAACTCATGGGGTACACAGGATTATGAACATGCATGCACCATTATACCATGAATTCAACTCAAACTCATTAATTCAAACATGCATGCATGAAATGAGCTTCAATTCACATTAATGACCCAAATCATGACTTAGCTCTACAATCTAACATGGACCATGCAACAATCAACTCAAAACATGAACAAAGACAATGGAGCTACCTTTAGTCTTGTAGCTAAGAAGGGAGCTCAAAAATGCAATCTTCTTAACAATTTCTTCAATTTCCAAACAATTCTACAAGTGAACTCAAGCTCTCCTTCCTCTCTCTCTAAATTCGCTAGAACAAGAAGTAATGGCTGATGAAATGTTTTGAGAAAGCATACACAAGGCTTCAAAATGAGTAAACAAAGGCCCCACTAGATGGCAAAATGTAATTACGTCAAACTCTTTAATTAGCTTATTTTAATCTAATTTAATCATACCTAATAGTTTTCAGTAATACACCATAAAATCACATTAATTACGAGGGTCATGAACATCAATCGGTTCTAATTCAGCCGCGATAAGGCCTTCAATTAGCAGTTAAACATATAAGCATGAACAGATAATCATACAGTCCAACAGATGAATGCAATTTAACTAACATATACTCAATCAATTCGGTTTCCAATTTCAGTCAGTCAGTTCAGTACTTTAATCAGTTCAATTATCAGTCATAATCAATTCAGTTTAACGGTAATCGATGGTTATCGGTAATCAATCAGTCATAAGTCGGTAAACAGTATGAGGGTTGTTACAAGCTCCCTAGTTCGGTTGTGTTTAAAGTCTAGAGTTTCCTAAACAGGTCTTTAGCTCGGTTACAGCGCGATTCTAGATTCAAACTTCATGTTTTCAGAATCCAGACGTTGTGTTCTTGAGCTCGAGCCTAAGGTTTGGGGTTTATAACATTTACTCTGTACTATGGTAGATATCTAGCGTATATGAACACATGTATGTGGGGATTGAATATCAAAAATGAGGAAATAATTAGAAAAAGAACAGCATAAAGAAGTGTTAGCCAAACTTACGAGTGAGAAGTCGCGAAGGAACAGTAGCCAATGGAGATGAAGGTGTGAGTATGGAACTTCGAGTACACAAGTTTTCAGAGGGCAAAGGCAAGAAGATGAACAGTAAGAGTGTTTTTCAAAAAAGGGGGTTCTTTTTTATAAAACCTAAAGAAAGGGCGGGACTGTTCAAAATTCACAAGGTACAAAGACGGCGTTGACAACTGTTCTCAACCAATAAGGGCCAGCCACGTGGCTATGGGGATAGCAAACGATTCAGATGTACAGCGTAATTGAAAAGACGTTTTTCGACCGAACAAATTGGGTAGCCCGGTGACGATTTAGCTCGGTTAAAGGTCTAAACTTTTAGCTCGGCTGGTAACAGGTAATCCCAATCATGCTACGCATATGGAATTAAGGGGCAATTAAGAGGGTAATTTGTAAATAAATTGGGCCGAGCTAAGGAAGGGCCTTCTTTGTAAGTTGGGCCGCACAATGGGTCAGGGTAAGAGTTGATATAGCCCGGTCTTAGAGCTAACGAGCTTGGCCCAGGCGCAGTTCGGACTGAGCTATGGATCGAGGAACTTAGGCATCGCGCGATTGACCTCATCCTGTTTAGCCCGGTGAGAGACTGCTGCATTTAGCTCGATTTGAACCTCCAGAACCGAGGTGTACATGGACAAGGGCCGAGCTAGGCATTGCGTATAGAATCACCGAATTGAGTATGTCAAAGGGCAAGTGTTAGCACGGTCATACTGTTATCCAGCAGTGGTAAAACCATCTCACTTGGTTTAAGCAGTGAGGAGGGTGTTGAAGGATAAGCATTATCTTTCAGGAGTGTGATTCCTAGGAGGACTCTAAATTGAGGAGTAAGAGTTCTACTAGGATTGTGCCAGGCGAAAACTATAAAAGCTCATAACAAAACCCATGTAGAGGTAACAGACCTTTGATTCTCGGAATACACAGAACTTTTGTCTATTTGTCTATTTTATTGACTTAGGCATCGAAGAGGTATCCGGCACACACCCGCCGGCTAGCTCACGTTTGTGTTTTCAGGGAGTAAAGCGACGGCGTTTGGTGGGGCGCAAACTTGATCAACAGAATTATACGAGAAGATTATTTCATGCTCGTACAATAATTATAATTTTTTTATTAATAGATAATTAAATTACACTACAATGTTATTCTCCATTAATCTTACATAAGATGACGCGGCAACATCTACACAATAAGACAGAAGATTGGGACGTGGACAAGTGATCCCAAGCCATCTAGGTAATGGCTAGCTTTCCTCTCTTCTTAGATTTTGAACGGATGGGTCTCGATAATTTATTTAATTTTTAAAAATTGTCTATATATATTATTTATAAAAAAAATTAAATTGATTTAATAATTGTATTTTTTTTTTAAATTAATGGGTTTGTTTAAAAAAAAATAATAAATAGACAAGAAATGTGTTTTTGAAATTAGACCTTTTTTTTTTTTTTTTTGGTGATAAACGTGATAAAATAAAAATAGGGAGAAACACCAATAAATCTCAAATTAATAACTTATACACTGTTTAGTCCCAAATGTTTTCTTATGAACTGAACAGTCCCATTGTAAGGGAATTGACCGTTGAGGGCATATACATCGTACGCGTGTGTGGTATAACTGCTGGGCAACATTGGTAGTTTAGTAATGTGAAATTACGGAAAAAGGGCGATCCATCATCAACATCAGTGCTAGACATCATCAAACATCAGGGCCATGATCAACATCATCAACATTAGTTCCATCATCAACATCAGCGACATCCACTACCACCATATCCATCCTCACGATGACCACCACCATCGCGGAACCCGCCGTCTCCGCCAACACCGCTTCCGCGGGACTGGGCCTCCTTGACAGTGATGTTGTGCCCGTCAAGATCCTGACCGTTCGGAACAGATCCGCGGAACAGATCTGATCTCTGCGACGTGTAGATCAAACAGACCTTCGATTCGATTACTTCACCGAACTGAGAGAAAGCGCCATGATCGACATCATCAACATCAGCGCCATGATCGACATCATCAACATTAGTTCCATCATCAACATCAGCGACATCAATGCCATGATCAACATCGTCAACATCAGCGCCTCTACACCGATCTCTCTTTACTTTCTCTCTGTGTAGAAGCCCTTGAAGATTTTGTTTTGAAATCTCTTAATCTTTCGAACAATGCCTTGGGCGAGAAGGGTGTTAGGGCATTTGAGAAACTCTTGAAATCATAGAGTATATTGGAGGAACTCTATTTAATCCGTTGGTGATGTATATATATATATATATAGAGAGAGAGAGAGAGAGAGAGGGTTATTCAAGTAATCAACAGTGCTCAACAGTGCGGTAAACATCTATATGATGAGGAAAGTCACAAAATGATAAAGGTTAGATATTTACAATTTCTGATCCAACAAAAAAAATATATATTCACAATTTTAAAATTTTAAATTTACTCCTGATTATGTAATAAGAGAGCAGGTCATATATGATTGAGGCTATTTGGAGTTTAGTTATTTTTAGATTAAAAATATATATATATATATATATATATATATATATGTTTGAGTTGATTATGATGTTGTTGATGTTGTTGGTGATTATGATGTTGTTGATGATGTTGGTGATTATGATGTTGTTGATTAAAAAATCTGTTTTAGTAATTGATGTTGTTGTTGATGTTTTTATGATGTTGCAGATTTTTAGGAAACAAACATTCTACAAAAGGGGTATTATTGTAACCTGCAAAATAATCAAAATTAAATAAACAACATTACCAAAATAAAATGGGACTAAATGGTGCATAAGAAAACTTTTAGGACTAAATGGTTCAACTTTTCAAAAAATAGGATTTATGGGTAAATTTTCCATAAAAATATTACAATTATCGAATCGACTTAATTATTTTTATAGATGAGATTGCTAAAGAGCTGAATAATTCAGATCGTTGAAACGGGACTTGTGATGAGCTCCATTTAGAGGTGACAAACTTAACCCAAATTTACGAACTTGTCCAATTATACCCATTTAAAACTCATATAAATCGCCCAAATCAATAAACGTGCTTAAATATGTTTCTCATTGTCAATCCAATTAAAATTGAGTTTACATGGGTTAGACATGATACCCATTTAAGCTCGTCTAAATGGACACCACTTCTACTACCAATCCACCTGCACCACCGCCACTCCTCCACCATGCCTCCTCTGCCACCACCACCTCTACCTCCTCTACTACGGCCACTCCACGATTACCACTGCCACTCCACTACCGCCGACACACTACCTCCTCTCTCACTATCACCACTCCACCACCATCACCACCGTCATCACTCCACCACCACTACTTTGCCACCACAATCTCGGCTTTGCCACAGCCATCGTCGTATTAAAAATATAAAAAAATTATTACTTTTTAAATAAAAAAAACAGTTTTAAAAATAATTAAAAAAAGAGATTAAGTAAATGGGTTGATTGAGTTTATTTGTCCAACTCGTATCTATTTCAATCAAATCCGTTTGAACCCATTTATTAAATGTATGAGTTTGGTTAGGTTGCCTTAAATGCATAATCGTTTTGATCCATTCGAACCCACCCACTATCTCGAATAGCACCTTCAGTCGAGATTTGGATCGGAGGAAAACCCAACCCAATATGAAATATAGAAGCAAAGATTTTTAAAATTGCTTTAAATTTAAAGAGAAATGAGTGTAATTTATTATAAAAAAAAAAGTTATATTAATTTTTTCCTTTTAAGGTATGACTGTCTTTTGGTATTACAGCGGTAGTCCATGTAACATCTTCGGTGGTCTTCCGAACCAAAGTCACAGCCGGCTAATGGAGACAATCAGATCAAAGTAAAGCAAATAAAACTCTTATCACTTGAGTTTTTTGAATTAAATTTTTTAAAAATTAAGTTTTTTTATTTTCGTATTTTTTTATTTTTAGTGAATATTTTTAATATTTTAAACATTTTTTTTTACTTTTTTAGATACACCTTACTTAGATGTATCTAAAAAGTAAAAAATTTGTAAAAAAATATTTTAAAAAATTAATAAATACATAAAAATACAAAAAATGTACATAATTTTCGTATTTTTTTTTGTATTTTTAGTATTTAGTGAATTTTTAAAAGATTTTTTTCACAAATTTTTTACTTCTTAGGTTTAATTATGTTAGGCATATCTAAAAAGTAAAAAAAATTTAAAATATTAAAAAAATTCAGTAAAAACAAAAAAATACGAAAAATAAGAAAATAGAATTTTTTGAAAACTATTTTTAGAAAAATGGAACCAAGCATAGAAATTATTATTTTTATATTATTTTTATTTTTTGAAATTACGCACATCAAATATGAGAATCGCTAGTAATCTAATAATTTTTTCAAATCATATATAAAATATATAAGCTTTGCTTTATTTGAGAATGTGCTCCATGGCTTTAAATAAGCATTATTTGACTGATGTTGCTTCTTTGTTTTCCTAATTATTTGTTCTTCCCATCGTTTGTTTTCCTTTAAAAAAAATATAGAAAAAATATAAAAAACTTCTTGATGATTCTCTATTTTTACTTATACTTCATTCTTTATTGTCATTTTGATTTTTTTTTTTTTTTTTTAATGTTCAAAACCTATCCAATTTTGTAAGATTTTCTTGGGCTTTACATGAGATGATTCAATAATATATGTATATATATTAAACAAGTTAGCCTCGAATTTACCAAAGAAAATTGAGACAGATAAAAAATTAGTTAACTAAAAAAAAAAAAATGATCAATATGATCAACATGAAAGGAGCATATAAACAACTTCATTGCTCCCAAAAAAAAAAAAAAAAAAAAAAAGAAAAAAAAAAAAAAAAAAAAAAAAAAAAAAAAAAAAAAAAAAAAAAAAAAAAAAAAAAAAAAA